CCGAAGCTCAGACTCTGGCACAGGATCGGGAACGTTGGAAGCACTGTCTGGCGCGTCTGCCTCCGCGACCAGAAAGGAGAAGCGGCGATGGAAGATGAAGATGAAGATGATGTCGACAAGTGTTGCACAAGCATTCGACCTGGATTGAATAAATGCGTACGCACTTTTCTGTCTTTGTAATATTACATCAGTTCTAACGAGAATCCCATATCTGAGGTATGCCTGGAGACCGCCTCCATCGCACTGCAAGCCAGTGAGCTATTATCTATTCATTAACAATGGCCTCACAATCTTGTATGCCATGCTTTCAGCGAATGGGATTTAATTGGATCTTCTAACCTACAGTAGCGCTTGACAGCAGGTCTTACTCCTCGCTCCTCTGATTTTAAGATCTTCATTTCCATCGTTTCCAGTTTTCTGTTTTCATCCTTCTTAATTATTGCGGTCTTCAACTCTGGCAGCCAAATGTTTACAACAGATTTTACTGTGAATATTAAGGGGAAAATGAGATGACCCTGATTTGAAATTTCTCGTATTGGATGCCAAGTGGAAACGTGTGTCTGGTCACTGCCGTTCAGATGAAACGTTTTTGGCAGTTGATAGCCAGTGAAATTTCCATGATTATACTTAGTTAGTATGAGTTACAATATGATGATAAAATACCAACATTCGAGAGCTATCCTAGGTCATTGGGGTTGTTTTATTTTAATTATTTCCCTACGGAGAGTGACTAGCGTGTTTAGGCATGTTCAGATGAACTGTGTCGCGAAAATGTGTCCTGTGCACTGTAGGAGCAGGTTCTTAAATACCATGGAGCCTTGGCCTGCTTAAACGGTACCCTTAGGCGTCTAGAAGCAAAGGAGCACTGCTGGTGTAAAGTGAAAAATAGATTTTTCTTTCTTTACACTGTACATTTGCGCCAGTTGAATCCGGTATCTTTATTGTTAATGCCATTTATGCAACAACGGTATCGAAAGCTCCCATTCTTGAGAACTACCCAGAACATGTAGGTTGTTTTATTTTGATGCTACGAGAAACACATGCGATGGCTGGATCGCTTACGATATAACCTGATAAGAATAACTACAGAAATTTAAAGCACGATTTTTCTATCTATGGGCTCGTTGCTCACGCTACAAAAGTTTTCATGCCCAGTCTGCTTAAGATTTTACACCACAATTTCAATATAGACTGTGCTGGACGATGATGTAAACCAATTTTAAAACAAGTTGGTTATGACGTAAAACGCGCTGATTTGTAATGCACCGGCAGACTAACAGTGTTATTCGAACATAAAGGAGGCTCCCTGTCGCATTGCGTTTTGGACAAGTATTGGAAGACTAAGGTAACTCGTGTTGCAGTTATGTGAGGTGATTCTATGAGTTATTTAGAGGCGAGAAAACAGGTTACAACGTGCGGCATCAAGCGGGAGGAAAACACTCGACCGGAAAGAAACAAGCTCAGAAAAGGTGGCTCAAAATGGAGCAGAAATCCTGTCTCCGTCTGAACAAAGCTTACCATGCATTGTTGCTAATTCTAAGATTTGAAATTTAAGGTTTGTTAGAAAAGGATGGACTCACGTTCGAAAAGAAGTCCGTCAGGGTCTAAGGCTCCTAGTGGATCGTCTTCCACGATTGACTTGACTACAGTTAAGCGATTTTGTTTCTTGCTTCTTAATCATAATTGTCTTTGCGTATCATTATTTTGAGCATAGTCATGCATGCATTTTCAACATTCATAGTTATGAAACAGAGACACTTTTTATAACATTTAATTTATCATATAATTTTGCGGATTCCATGATGTTGCATTAGAAAAATCATTTTTATGTAATCGAAATGGTCAGCTATCAAAGGGATAAATGTCAAATGTTATCGTAACTTAAATCGATCAGACAAATTAGTCATAAACTTTACACGTTGTACTAAGATGTCACAGTAGAACTCCATGCTATTCTTAATGTTCACGGGCCTCTGGTTTGCTATCCGTCTCTTAGCTCATTGCTTTTAAACGCAACTTGGTGATTTTCTCGCTCAAGCGAATTGGCAAAGTTGTTGATCTGTTGATTTGATGGTTTCAGGGCGCAAGACAGACGTTTGTGTTAAAATAGCTGTAGTAATTTGTTGCTAATATTTTGGTTAGAAAATAATTAACAAAATAAACGGCTAACCGCAACTTGGTTATATAATGGCATAGTGTCTGTAAGGCAAAGAAGCAACCTACACGTGTATTTTTGGTAAAATGGTCTGAGACAATATGCACTATATTGCTTTGTTAAATGATTGGAAGATTCTATGCAAAATCTATGATTCTTAAGTGAAATATGCCAAAACATTCAGTACTTCATGAGAGGCAGAAATGACGAACGTAATGGACGCGACCGTCGCTGAGAAACCAGGTTTATGTAAAGTACCACATTTCATACATGAATATGAGACTCGAACAATAAAGGCTACATGCAGATGAGCAGCGAATATCATTTTGTGCATCATGTCCTATTTTGGTTCTCACCTCTTTGGTGACACCTTCTATTGGATAGGTACTTATTTTTATGTCCCCATGTTCAAAGCTTTGGTGGCTGGCGAATTGGGCTTGGTTTCCATTTATTTTAATGGCTGCCAAAGTAACGACCATCCTCCTTTTATTAACTTCAATTAGCGCAGGAAACCTAGACATATTTGTACGCTAACGTAACCTCAAAATCTACAATACCTTTCCGTTAGTCATTGCGTTACATGTTTTTATTGCATAGCAATTAAACCTGTTTTGTTGGTCGATGTTGCGTGATATTCAGCTAGAAGTGGATAAGATAGGCTTTATCTGCTTCTGTAGCCATTTTATTTAATATGCCGCTCTTCTTCAAGTCGTCTTCCGTTCAATAGACAGTAGCGTTCTGCTTTTTGCCAACTTTTGGCATCCTGCCTTCTAAATGATGATTATGATTGATCGCGTCATAACCATTACCAGTACATTATTTACTTCATTTTCTGACTGTGGGAAAATCAGTAGCAAACTTAATAACGTCTATATTTTGCGTGATAGTATCAGGTTACGTGGTGACTGTGTCAATGCCTCATCAACGTGAATATTTTGGCAATTTCTGGTTCACTTTTGTGCACCGTGAGCACAGAACGCTGATAGATAATGAGGTATTAAAGGCCTGTCGGACCTCACACTTTGAAGAACCTTCGAAAACTTATATCATTAATTCTTTGTCATTGTAGGAGGATGACCCGATCATGACAAAAAAATACTACTATGGAATTATTCCAAGGGAGGATGTGCAGAGCATGCTCGTTGCCAATGGTGAGTTCCTCGTCCGCATTGCTACCCTACGGACCGAGGAGTTTCCTGGATGGTGTATTTCGGCTCGATGGAACGGAGAAGTATATCACGTACTGATTCGCCGACTGAAAAATGTAAGATGGTTTATTCATTATTTTTCTATATTCGCGATGAAGAAGCTTACCACAAAACGTTTAGAGTCGTATGAGATGATAAACCTTCGAGAAACTGATTATTGATTGCACTAAATGCTCATAAAGCACTTTGCGCCATTCCCTTCCTTCTGTTCTTTCTCTTGTAAAATGTATTTTATTACCTCAATCTTTTCTAGAAAAGAATTTTGTTAGTTTCCGATAATCTTTCCATCAATGCTATTGTCAACTTCCTCAGTTTTTTATCTTCATATTTTTTTTATCATTTCTCGCTCTATCGTTAACCCTTGATTTGAATTCTTTCCGTTTCCCTGTTTCCAGTTATTTTCCTATATGCTTTTCAGTTAGCAAGAATATCTCTCTTTCTCCTTGCCGCCTAAATAACGTTACTTGATTTTTATCTTTAGATGCCCTGTTTTTTCCTCTAGTCTTGAACACCTCTTACTCAAATGATTTTGTTCTCATATGTGATATAACATCTGTGTTACTTAGCTGGAAGGTTCGATGCATGAACAGTAACAGGACTTCGACTAACGTTCGTTCAAGAAGCTTAGGTCAAGCACATATTTCAATGCCTTATAAGCTCTCAGTAATATAATCCTTCGAAAGAGTTTTCTTTGTTGGACAGAGTAACAAATTCAATCGATACTTCTCTTTTCTTAGGGCAAAAGCAGCAAGGAAGCCGATTAACCTGGCATGTTTCGGTTATGCCTGTTGGCTCACTTGGGCTATAAATCGCACCAGGTGTTGTGCTTGCAAAGCTATCTATATAGCCGAACAGTAAGACCTCTGTTTCTGAAGACTGGGAAATACTCAGGATCAAAAGGAGAGTGACTAAGCCGTCCGTCTTTTGCTACGCACAACACTCGTGCCCCTTAGAGTGCAAGAAAAATAAGATTAGGTTAAGACTCGGTGCATACAAAACCTTACTACATCCTCGAAAGCAACTCACTGCCCTTTCCTGCAGTCGAACGATGCTACAGACGGACTAGAAAACCTCCATTTGAGGGGAAGTTCAGGAATACAGATAAATTAGCCAACCAGCAAGGTTGACTGGCGAACAGCGTTGCAATGAGTACGGAATTTTTTCGATAATTCGCGGGCTTGATCTATGTGCCCCACTAAAGGCCTTCGTTAACAGATCAAGAGAAAGGGTTGAAATCAGCATTACACCAACACCACAACAGCTGTGTCAAATTCGTTCTTTCTCACCGTCAGTGTATAATCGATACTAGTGGCTAGTGCAGATACGCCCTCAAAACTAGATATACAGAAGGGCTTGCTGCTCCTCAGTGTTAACGAAGCCCGTGAGGTAGATCCAATTACAAGTAAGACAGTTGAATATGGACGTTGAAATGAGGAAAGTGGAAGAAATGCTCCACGCCATTTTTCATCAAATGTGGATCATGAAAATTTTCCGTGAAAAATGGAAGTCTGAAGTAACTGTCCCATATTTAAATGGAGGCAGGCGACCGAGTAACTAAGTCATCGTAGCATCACATTACCATCAACAGTCAGAAAACTCATCTCCCCCCATGCTTCCAATCTGCAGTTGTTTCTCATATTTTCCCTTAAAACATACTGTTATATCATGTTAACCAGAAAAATAGCTGCTTACGAAGCCTTCCCTGCGATTAGAGCTTCAGACATCTCATCGTGATCAGCCTTCCACTGTCCTCTCAAAGATGAGGCCCTCTAAAATGCTTTTCCATAAACTCCTGTTTTCTGCGATTCTTATTCATAGTGATCCAGCGAAATTGTTCAGCTTCTGGCACCATTTGCCTGGAGATTATTTTACGGCCTTCTACTTTCCCATAAAGCATAGTTTAACATCACCCTGATTCAGTGATGGCCATTTCTTCTTGCAAAATGTTCTGTCCGTTGCTTCTTAAACTTCTTCACTCGAGCAATAACGTCCTGTCCTCTTGTTTGTGCTGTTGCCCATTTATTAGTTTTCCTACACATTAGGCTTAAGGTCTGCGTTTCGCATCCATAGCTTAACACGGGAAGCAGATATAGACAGAAATCTGCTTTAGAGGTCGACGTTTCTCAAATCACTTTCTTTTCTGCTAGCTTGTGACCGGTTTCATTTTTTATTTATCATTCTTATTTGTTGCCTGCCTTCTTAACTTATTTGCTTATTGCGCTCCATTCAGGGACTTTACGCCCTTGAAGGTAGTGAATTCAGTACCATAGACGAACTGGTGAAGCACTATTACAAGCACCGGATTCCACTTACCGCGAATTCTAAGGCCCTGCTGCTCCGGCCGTTGAGCCATGCAAGTTGGATTTTGCACGAGGACCAGGTGACGTTGCTGGAAAAACTAGGGGAGGTGAGCAAACTTGTTTGCACACGGCATACGATGGGCGGGGGACAGCGTTTGATTATAGGGAAATTTCGGTGAGGTATGGAAGGGTGTGTTGAGGACGGACGAAAGAGGCGAGGAACTGGTAGCGGTGAAAGCGCTGAAACCCGTAAAGCCCATATCTGATTCGGATCGAACGTCGTTCTTCAGCGAATGTCGGCGCCTTCGACAGCTGCGCCATCAGCATTTGGTGAACTTCCGTGGAGCCGTGTTCGACCGAGAACCGATCCGTATCGTGATGGAGCTCTGTGACAGTATTTCCGCAGCCCAACTCATCTGCTTGATTAAGTCCTCACTTTTAGCCACGCTGGTCAATTACTTGCGGGAACATAAGGGAGCAATTAGCACCAAAGAAAAAGTGTATTACTGCTTGCAGGCTGCGTACGGAATGGAGTACCTCGTATCAGAAGGATTCATACATCGGTGAGAAATATTTTGCAATACAGACAACTTGAGGACCGTTTCCAACGTCTTGTCATTATTAATAATTTTTTGATTTGTATGCAGACGTTTGATGTCACGTTCCAAATTCCATGCATATTTTGTTCATTTATTTAGCAAAATATGACTTGAACCGTGATCGATTTTTAAAGGTGTTTCGGCTTCCGAAACAGAAGTTTATAGCAGGATGATATAACACAATTTCTAACAATGGAGTTATGGTAAATATTCGTATATAACTATATAAAAAGGTTTATGTTTATGCGGAGCGTGAAAAGCAACGGAATCGGAAAAGTGCAACAGAGACAGAAGAGGTAACGGTTGAAAATGTTATTGTTTGAGAATAAGGAAATTTGCAAGGAGACTGAAAATTTTTGAGGATTCTTTAATAAGAGCCCTAGATTGTTTTCTTCGTAATCACTATTCGTGACTTCTTTGTTGTAGAAATGCTATCTCCATTTTGAGGTATGTGCAAAGATTCTGGAATGTTAACAACTGATCCTTTTAATTGCATCTTGGTTTACTTACTTCTCACTTTAGAAGATCTGTATGCCTTTCAAACAGATTCTATTACAGTTAATAATATAATTTGCCTTCCCCCATTCCATTTTCATTTGAGCTATCGGCTTTGTTCAATTTCCTAAATAAAGTAGAACCAAAAGGTTGTGGAGGTTTGTAAGGTACTCGGAAGTTTGTTTTTGAAGGTAAAATTTAAGGTCTGGGGGAATACCTACTGAAGGGGATAAGGCTTAGAGACGATTCCCATTTCGATCATTTGTTGGGGCTGTTTTTGCGATGAAGAAAATTGAATTTCGAAAGAGAAGGTTGGTATCCATTTGCTACAACATACTGTTTAAGAAGATTAATTGTTTTGTTACGTTGGCCGTTTCAGCACAGTATGTTTGAGTTCCTAGTCTCACGGTGTGCTTCAGGTAGAAAACAGCTATCTTGGAAAGTTGTTTCCTGGAAATTTATGCTTAGCTCAAATATCAAGAGACTGGATTTTTTCTGCTTAGAAAGGTGAACATTATCCATTCAAACGAAGAAAGTGAGCAAGACTGTTCTGAAGGGGAAGGATGAGTCATGCAGAATCAAAATATCCTCAACATACCTATAGTTAAAAGTGATTTAAATCTGAAGAACATTGAGAAAGGACTACAATTTCCAGGATATAAACGTTTCAGTCACGGAAGCGCAAAAATACGTTATTCCATTAATATTCCGTATCCCTCGCAGAAAGTATGGTCATCATGTTCACAGAATGCAGTGCAACTTATTATTTAAAGTAATTGAGTTACATCAGAAGTAATCAGTATACTCAGAAGCAGTTCGGCTCCCTTCCATTTGTCTTTTAAAAATTGCTCATGCTTAAATCGGTCCTTTATTAAAGAAGTGAACAAATGTTTCTCTGTCGGGGTATTGAAATGCACTTAAGAAGACATTTCCACATATGTTGCCTGTACAACTAGGAGCATGCACTTTGAGACTGGTAAATTCATCTATAGTTTCCAGAGATTCCACGCCTTAATGGCTGGTCACAATGCGTTACATGAACCAACTCAAGCCAGGCAAAATTCAAAGTTGAAACGCTACATTATGTCAGATCACAGTTTGACACTTTCGAACGTTGAAAGGTATACTGTATTCCAAAATGCAAAATCTTTCTGTTACGATTTCAGACTTTGCCTCAATTGTCAAATCCAACCTCGACGGTTAAGTTAAACGTGTGTACTCACTAAAGTAAGGAAAATACTGGGCAGAGTACGTCTCAGTGCATTTGCCTTTGTTGTCGAATGAATCCTGAAACAGTGAGTTAAGTTGGTTAAGGTTAAGGCGGTTAAGGCTAACATTGACGAGTGACGACAACTGCGCATTATACAAACAGTTCATGAAGCCCGTTTCAGGGGGCCATGGAAAAAGAAACTCAGTCAATGCCATCGACGCTCATCGAGAATTCTGTCGTAGATCAGTTCTGCCGCTCACGTCGAGGGAAGAGGCTCAGAAGAGCAGAAACAAATGATTTTGCCTAATATCCTCCCATTACGCTTAAAACTATAACTTCTATTTGGTCTTTTATAGAATTTGTTCAACGTTGCCCGTTAACTCATTGGCGGCAAATGCCTCTTTCTTAATAACTTTGTTACCCAAGCGAATTAATTTGAATCCAATCTCATGAAGCAGCCATATTCAGAAGTTAGCAGAGCTGCTGGTACTTCCCATGCTGTCCATGAGAATTATGCATTAACTGCAAATCCAGATGAGGGAATTACCGACTGCAGCATAGGCGTAGGCTACTCATTCAATCACGCCATGTACTCTGTGAACATAGATGAACTACTGCTGATCTAGAAGTGACGGTAGTTGCGAACTGGACTGGGTCAGTACATTTAAAAATAACGTTATTAAAGGCACTTAGATAGCAGTACCAGCGAAGCGCAGCGAAATAGTGTTGTTGGAACTTGCATTACGTGGATTTGTTTTCTAAGCAGAGGACTGTGTTCACTGCTATAACTATTAGGAAGTGAGGATCTATTTTGCTTAAGCTATGAGTTGCATCCATTAGATATTTATAATGACATTGCCTATTATGGCGAAACATGCCATGCTCTGTTCAGATGCATGAAACATAACTGTACATATTTGGGACGTTTCATTTCAGTGACAGTGAGGTCGGCTTTGAACTCCCGGTACCGGGATCGAACGTGCAGAAGGGTCAATGTTTGCCTTTTCTGCGAATTCCCTTCGGTAAGGAATCAACCTCACGCTGCTTCAGCGAAACCAGCCGAGTAAAAGGTAGTGAGGTAGTAGATGAATTACAAAACATACAGACAGCGCGTTCCTCTGGTTCGGTCAGGACAAAACTGACGAGATGCACGGGCCATGGTGTCCACTACGAGCACGACCTGTGGCTGCATTTCGAATTGACCAAACTGATAGCAGATTATCAAATATAATCATAACACAAGGTGTAACCTTGATTTCGATTTGGAATCGCTCCACCGCTGATTCAGAAAGCTTTCACTATGCAGCTGAGGAAAGGACCTTGTTGCTTCACCTATTCTATTATGAGACATCATTCTGCCGCCTATTTTGCTCATTTCACCATATTTTATTCAGAAAGCATAAAATATGAGAAAATGATAACGTCATTCACGTTATGATAAATAATTTGAAGATTTATTAGAATCTTTTCGCCAAAGTTTGAAATCGACTAGGTTTTATCTAGCAGAATTGCTGTAGTCTTCGATTTGCTGTAGTCACTCATCGATGCATCTATGCCAGCTGCTGTTTTTTGGCCTCAAGCAGCCTTGGGATATGAACCAGATGTGCACAGACACTTGCGCACAGTCAGGGCGAAGATCCTGGATGTGTGGAACTTACACATGCCAGTGATTTTCCATTTACCTGCACGATCTACTACTGTGAGCGTCCAATCTGTCCATGCTGCACTGTTACAGAGGCAGCTTAGTTACTTCTTACAATAAGCATAGGGTACACAGTTATATTGTAGTAGTCTGTCATTATTATTTTTGAATGAAAATAACTGTGAGAAAATTTATGCATGCATTTATATGTCCTGCTGTTTAAACGACTCAAATGTCATTAATTGTAAAAGCATATTTTTTGATAACGTTGATGAAAGGAACTTAAAACGTGATTCCCATAGAGTTCACTTGGAAAAAGTAATGCGATCTATAGCTTCAGCATTAGAGAAATATCTTCCATGCTTAATTGAGAAATTGCGAAGTAAGCGCCAAGGGTAAAATCGACGGGTCAGGAATATCAGACCATGCAGATTAGAATGAGGTCCATGTTTACTATCTTAATGATCAATGTTGGTGCACTCATTACTAACTGAAGACCACAGCCAAAATATCACATTTAACATTTCTTATGTGACGGATAGGCCGCAAGCCTTTAACTCTCGATTCACCTATGGTGTCATTCAATGGTTTATTGATCTCATATCCTTGTTTTAGTAAAATTTTTCAGCTAAGAGGTCAGAACGGCGCTAACAGGCTGCCTTTGAGGTTTACTCTGTCTGCTTGGAGGAAAGCGCTACAATGCTACGGAACGAGTCAGACATTACCTCGTGGTAACGGAAGTGATAAAAATGAAACAGTAGGATAACTGAAGCATGAAATATTGAAAAAGAGTTTTCATGCTAGCGTTTTGCTGCATGGTGGCTAGAGGCACACAGATGAGGCAAATAAATTAATTTTAGGCGAACATTTTGGATCGCACCACAGGGCCGATCATTTTCGCATGAAATGATAGTTTGTGCTCTCACTCTGAGTACGGTGGCATAGTCCGAAACTATGGCCTGAAATGAATAATTTATTTCCCTCATATTTTTGAGACCTTAGCCACCGTATGTGAAGATCTTTCGAACTCTTCGTCAAATACTGGAGCTGAATTTCAAGTGAAAATTCCAGATCCACTATCATTGAGAAGGTAACAATGGCCGCAATGAACCGTGCTAGAAATTAGACACTCGATATAACTATCAGATATACGTATAGCAGGGAGCTGAATTAACGTCACCAAATATAACTGACTAATTCCTTAACACCAGAAGATTTTCGGAATCTTTTTTATCTCTACCGTACCCTCTGTTTCAGTATACTTAGATGGTTGTTACGTTCGTCACTGACCGACGTACTGCTGATGAATCGTTTCTTTTCAGTGACCTAGCGGCGAGGAATTGTCTATTAAAACACAATACGTTGAAGATTTCCGACCTCGGCATGGCACGGCGAGGTAGCCGCTATATTTTGGAAAGCGGCCTCAAGCAGATTCCTCTGAAATGGACAGCTCCGGAGGCACTACGCACCCGTAAGTTACAACTAAAGCATTTTAATCGGTTGAGTTGGCACTCTCTAAACAGCTGCTTCTTCCCCTTCGCAGTTCCCTGTTCGCCTTTCCAACACAGCAATAAATTTTGCAAGCAATTCTGACTGACAGCGAAGAGGAATGTTTGAATCTTCAACAGCTGTTCAATTGCCCCAGTCACTTATCCCTGATGCCGGGGGTCTCGTATCTTTTGTTCTCGTGCAAAGCAACTAAAACGCACGAGCACGCGGTTGCCCGCCCAATGGCAATGACGTCAGCACTCCTCAAAGATTATCCGGCCAATCATGGAGCAGTTTGTCGCAGAAGGGTATAGGACCATATTAACGAAGTTGCACAAGAAAAACGGCAATCGATTAAAACGTTGGCCATCGGTACTTCAATTGTTCGATGGCTGGCTAGCCACATTTCTTGCCTCCTCCCATTCCTCAAATTTTGAACAGAGAATCCATTCCGTTGGCGTCGATTGGCCTTCGTCTCTCAGTCTTTGAAGTATGCCGACGATGCCGTTGTGTCAGCACGCATGCTTGAAGTCGATACGAAATAGGAAAGACTGCAGAATCCCATTTCCAGCATCATCCCTTACCACCAATTTTTGGTGATTTATCTGAATTAGTCCAGGTCTGCCAAGTTGATCTGCAGAATGAAGAATACCAAGACTCAAACAGGATTAGATCCATCATTACATCCCTTCCATGTCGGAAATTGTTTGTATTTTTAAGTCAAGAAGTAAACCGTTTAGGCATTATTTGATCATCTGACTTTACATGTTCGAGTTCAATCAGCGGTGTCTACATGCTGCCAAGGATCTTTCTGTGCAAAGCTGTTGTTGATCCTCCATCTACCACATAATTCCATTACACGGTTGGCGTTCTGCCCTGCATCAGGAGTAGTTTAATCTTGCATGTTAGCAGGTGATTTCATGGCGCTGAGAAGATCACGCAGACAAATAAGTGGTCTTTCACAAAATGGTCTACTTTGGTGCGTCTCTAACGACCTTATCATGAATCAGAACATCATCAATGACTGCAGTCATCCACTACGCGACATACGTTTATACGGTCTTTCACGAATCTCATGCACTAGATCCAGGTGTTTCGGTGTGTTGACCGGTAAGGGAGTTGCACCATTGCCAAATTCATCATCCCATTCCTCTAAATTCCAGTAATGCTAGGTGGTGCCAGCAACTTGCATGCTGTTACAATGTTCCCTTCTTGCTTCGGTAATACGTTTTACCTGCTTGGGTCATTTGATTGCGCCTTTTCACTAACTCGTTTATTTAATGCATTTTTTGTTCGCTCTAGGAGTTTAAGGGCAATCTTGTTCTCTGACATGGCTAATTTTTGACTAATTGCATTGTTTGGCGTTATGCTGAAAAATGGAACTCTTCAGTGATTGCATTTAGTTAATTAATTTAATTTACGTTTTTTCATTCATTTCACTCACTATTAATAACGCTGGTGGAACGATGGACTTCTTCAGACCATAATGTGGAAGATGCTGGCTGAATGAACGATGACATACATGCTTATTGTGGCTTATGGTCTGCTTTAGATGTTTATACGGAAAAATCGGACGTGTGGTCTTTCGGTATTTTGATGTGGGAAATTTTCAGCGAGGGCGATCCACCGTACTCTGAAATGCAGGAGAAATATGGCAGGAAATTTCCTGAGGTTCTGGTCCGTTTCGTAGTAAATGGTTTGTTTTTAACTTTTTTAATCAGTTCACTCATGTTACTCGTTTAGGAGGTCGACTGATTCCTCCTCCGAGTGCACCCGATGATATTATAGCACTAATGAATAACTGTTGGGCACAAAATCCCAAAGAACGGTATTTCTTTAAAGAAATCACACAACAGCTTCAAAAAATCTATCATGAATATGACATTGCTGACACCGGCACTTCGCCTGACAGTTAAATACGTCTCTTTTGTAGTGTTTTGTTCGTTTTGTATTGAACTGAAATTGTGAAGTGCGCATACGCAAAAATATGATCAAATATCAACCATATGAGAAGTGTAGATGCCAAGTGTGTAATAAATATATTGTTAAAATGCAGCATCAGTGTCCAGTATCAGCGCCACATAAAAAACCCTCTAAAGCATAAATCACTGTAATTAATAGCTTAAGTTCATGCCGATTTTATGTCGCTGATAACCGGAAATTGGGAGTGCTCTCGATTACGTGGTAAGCGGCAGAGAAAACAAAAATAAACAAATTTTTTATTTGAAACCGATGTGCTTTTTCGACAAGCTGGTATCGTCACCAATGAGTAACATGGGCATAAATCATAATTATGCTCATGACAGGCACGTGCTGAAATTTTCATTGCACTCAGAATTAAAACCTATACAATGGAAAATGCATTTTGCTTTCTAACCTTATTAATCACAGCTCTATAGAGGCTATATTAGTCAGGCTAAAATGGAAATGCGGAAAAGTAGGGCAAGACATTTTCCCCTCCCATCGAATTTGACGCATAAACCGATGGCGAGGTCAAAGATTTCGTCTGCTTCAGTTACAGTCAGGGGATTGCTACTGTTTTCTAACAGACTTCAATTCAATGATTCTGTCGTTCTGGTTTAATTCTACCAGTTCACTAACACCGGCTAGAAAATGGATCATAGAATCTGGAGCTGAATAGGGTAGCTTCTACATGCAGCTGTTCAGAATTCCACAGCCCTGTGCTTTGTAATCATAAATTCAACAATAACCGTGCAGTTCCTAGTGGCCTCATAAACAAGCTTCTGCCCCTTTCCTCTGAGGGAGAAGATGTCCCGATTTCTGACTGTCAGCCCTCACTGACGGTAACGCTGCTGTGACAACGCTCTATGCCTCCACCGTTCACAACGGGTAGCAATTCCATTGCCGATCATGGTCAGCGGTCGCCTTGCTGTTATGCGTCTCACTGCCAAGGCGTAGAGCATTTTCTGGTTGTGGACTTTTTGCAGGCTGACGCTGACTCAGTTCGCCAGGAGCCTGCCTGGTCATGGTAACTCGGGCTACAACCGAGTCGGTATAGCATTCGATAGTGGCAACACCATGTGGAGCAGGTAGCTAACTCTTACTGGATCCGTAACTACTATCTTTAGCTCTTCTCCTCATCCATCGTGATTTGGGACAAGGAACGTTTGAGTTCAAAACGGCGTACATTATAAATCTGGGTCACTGTGCTGTTTAACCTCTGTCACCCTGTGATGACCAAAAGAGAACAACCACAACTGGAGGACAATGCATGAGGTCATCACGAGGCGACCCTACATATCGCTGCCGGCTGACGAATGCTAGAGTTCGCTGCGACAAGATTACATGTTAGAGGCTGTAGTAAATGCACCCGAATTGATATTGGCAATCGAATCGAATATGAAAGAATCGCTTCACTTTTCAAAATCTCACAGAAGCGCTGACCGTCAATGACGCTGATGGGTGGTCGAAAGGAATTGCGTTGTGATTTGGTAGATTGCTGCTGCATATATGTGCTTACCTTGACAAGGTTGTCAGGTGTGTTAGGTCCCATCACAGCAACTAGTGACTAATCAACGATCACTGACTCATAGCTAATCCTGTTATAAGCAGAAACTTTGCAGTTCGGAGTTTCTATGTGAAACGCAAAGTTCACTGAAACTCTCTCTCTCAATGAATGTAATCAAGATGATTATTAATATTTGCTGTAATTATAATCTTATTTAAACTTGATTGCGCTGCATGCTTTAGTTGTACTGACATCTCCTGACGTACGTACGTAGCACACGTTGGTTCTTTCAGACATCGTTGCCGTTCGGCTTCCACGGCTCATAGTGCGTTGGTGATACTGACTTTAAACGCGTTTCGTACATATCTAAAGGGCGTAAAGCAGCACCGTTTTTTTGTGGGAAAATCTCTTGTCAAAAAACGCTTTGAAAGTCATCAGCGATATCCGTCAGCTGACTTACATCATCGGTACGAAAGCTTCCGCTGACGAAACTAGTCATTCGTTTTACTTATGTCGGCAGACATCATTAATTTTCGTTACTGCGCTGTTCAAATTCAGGCCAGTTTCAAATCGACGCGGAATTGAATACAATTTCATTATCGGTGAAATTCCGTTTCGGTTGGAAGTTCATTACTTCATCATTCAATTAGAATGCTTGAACTTATGGTTTCGAAGGATCGTTTGGATATTGTTCTTTCATCTTTGAGAAAATTTATGATCGAACATTCATAGCTACAAATGGCGGAGCGACATCAATGTCTTTATTTAAAGTGCAGACATTTCCCGTGCTCGGACTTAACAAGGAATTGAGAAAGCCAAACAACCGTGTTCTGAAACAGGCCGAATAGTGACTTGAGCATCAGTCTATTATTTGTCTCTAGAACCATTCAATTAAGTTTTATTTTTATGCATTTATGTTCTACCACCTGAAAGAAAACAGAACTGCTGTTGGTAGCATCCATGCCCTTGCAACTCGATCGCCTTTCGGTAAACTTGTGATCGGCGGAAGTGGGTCTTTCCAAGACAATTTGTCGTAACAGTGAAAGCTGGATGTTTCTTTGATAATCAAATAAAAATACCTTGAAAAACGCTGACAGGAAAACCGGATCTTTCAAAATCTAAATGGAAAGGTGTGCTGATGTTCTTGGTCGAAATAAACGTCGATCCGCATTTTCTAGTTCGATCTAGTTAAATTTCGACTTTCGAATTTCAAATGATAATTTTTAGCTCAGTGTCAAGCTTCAGTTTAAATTATGCTCATGAATTTTTCTTTAACCGCTGAGACAAATGGATGGACATTTAAACCAAAGATAGTTTATGCCAGTCTTTGTAGCCGTCATGGGACTCTATCTAAAAAAAACACGTTTAAGATTGTCTGACCGCCTGTCACGATTTCTCTAGCGATGTTGACACATCTGGTAGTTTATATACATCTAGCCCTCGTGGTACAGCTGTTATCAGACGTGATAATGGCTCTGTCATCCCCCGAGTCACGGAGGGTTGCCCCATCGGCGATCCAAACTTGCTTCTCGTGTTCTGGCAGTTAGAGCCAAAGCGATGGCTTCAGAAGACGAATATACCTGTCAGCAACAGAGTCTCTACCATTTTGAACAGAGACAGACACTGTAGTGCCAATACAGCATGTTTGATATGGTTCATGGGAACAGTAGTGACATTCGAAACTCATGATCAGAAGTTGGAACTCCACCTCACTCAGAGGAAAAGAACAGAAGCTAGCCAGTTAGTTCATGAATCCGCAAGGAACAGACCGGACATAATTGGAATCTCGTCCGCAAAGCACTGCGCCGGGGCTGCAGAATTCTAAACTATTTCGGGTGAAATCTATTTTAACCAGGTATCAAAATCACGATGGATGCTCAGGCAGATGCTGGTGTTCTGGTAGAACCCAACTCGCCTGACAGATTCATGGAAAGGAAGCGTGTCAGCAGAAGAGTGGCAATCCTCCGACTGAAGCTACAGCAGACTAAACCGCTGACCATCTTAAAGGTCTCTGGCCCAATTTAGAATGGAAATATGAGTGCTTCTTTGAGGTAGAAGAGTGGGTTCTGTACGAAGTGCCGACTACCGAACTCCTCATTCAGACAAGCGGTTTCAGTGCGCATGTCAGGGCAGGCACTGAAACGTGGAAAGGCTGATTGGAAGATTGAAAGAATGACCCTAGCGACCTCAACAATAACGGCATGAAGTTGTTGCGGTTTTGTGCAAACAACGGATTGTCCA